TGCAACTACTGTAGTTTTGAAACAAAACATCCCACAGATAATAAGTTATCTGTGAAAGAGAAGTCTATTTGACTTACAATCAAGTCTTGGCGGATGCTTTTCAACTGTTCACACACCCAGTGATAGTCGTTCTTCTCCTTCCACCGCCGTAACACGTGGGCCAGAGAACGCACCAAAACCTCGGCTGGACGAACGTTGGAAGGATCCGGGGCCTGAAGAAGAAAAGACGGTTCCGGTAGAGCAGGGGCACGTGAAAATGGATTAAAGTTTAGAAAAATGAGTTCAGGAAATGAAGGAAAAAAAGTAGAAACTGAAGCCAAACAAGAATAGCAATCGAGGTCAATTAAATAATTACTACGGTAAAGGCCTGTCAACAAAACAGTCCCAAGTGCCACGGCGTTTGAGAATTTCGGAAGCGATTTGGGGCTTAAAAGCTAGTCTTGGAGGACAGTAGGGTTTTGTGACTTGACAAGCCAGCCGGGTATGTGCTCATTTCGTCTGACCAACAAGTGCCTTCATGTTCGCCCAACATACTTGCATCCCACAGTTCGAAAAATACCGTTAAACAAACTCCTCAGTGAATCATTCAACAATTGCCACCGATGCGTTGTCCATGCTTACTATAATTACTCTCCTTTTAGTTGCTGCTTCTTATCTCAGGACAATAAACCAACTGACCCGGTGCTTGAACAGTCTTCCTTATCCGAACACTAAATCCTCCGATCTTCACTGCTGATAAAACCAGACCACGCTAAATTGAATGCAAGTGGGGCTACGCCCCTCTGAGCGCTTCACACATACTACACAAAATGTTGCTAGTCAAAAGCGGAAGAGGTATAGTTAACATTGCATGCAAGTGGGGCTACGTCCCTCTGAGCGCTTCACACATACTACACAAAATGTTGCTAGTCAAAAGCGGAAGAGGTATAGTTAACATTGCATGCAACAATATCGGCAGGACAGGACACATTAAGATTATTTGTATTTCTTACACTAGTTAGCCGAAGGTAGGGCTTTTCCAGTTCCTCGCTTGTTCCAGTTACTTTAAACTGGTGAAAGTCGAGAAACTGATCATCCTTGTCTCCTGCTGACATCAAGCATAATTGGCTGGTTGATTTTGCAATAGAACCCGCACCAGTCAGAGTGGAGTCGCCGAGATGTTCTTTAAATCGATT